CTGGCTGCCTGCCCAGTGCTGAGGAGCCCTGTGGTGGAGAACAAAGAGCATGCTGTGCTGCTGTACACGGATCAAACAACGGGGCACAAAACTGCCTGGAAAGCAAGGTCTCAAATCCACTTCCTGTCAGCAAATGGGAAATTTCAATGCAACTGTTAGGAAGCATGGAAATGTTTGGGGGGTTTTTGTTAGGTTTTTCATTTTCCCTTACTCATCATTCAGATTTATTTCACTCTTGGCTGCCAGACACTTTGGGATGTAGAGGTTCTCTAAATAGACAAAGCGTTCTAGGAGTCAAACAAGACGTGTTTGAACTGGAGTTGCAGTTTTTACTGGACGCAGAGGGGAAACTGCTGCTGCAGCGTGTGTTTTTTCTGCCTGGCTCTCATTTGCTTGCCACTTAGGAGGTTCCTTGTGCCTGGGCCTCTACTGAGCTTAAGTCTTTCCTCCTTCATCTCACTCCTCTAATCTTTGTTCGCATCCTCTAAGTTGGTGATGTGCTGCCACCACCACCACTCCCTTCTTATTCCTCATCCCATCTTGACATGTCTCAGAATAATGAAAATGCTGGCAGATCTTCAGCTCAGAGGGCTGATTTATCTGGGGATTAGAGCAGTGTTGAAAGCTAAACAATAGCAGAAATGATTGTGTGTGATACCCTTTAAATGCTGGAGTTTTTGTCTTCCAGTTCTACAAGTAGAAAACATTCTGGGCATGTTTTTCCCAGAAACACACAGCATTTTGTTACCGCTCATTTGCGGATTCAGTGTGATGAGGTGCAAGGGTATAATTTCTAAAGAAGCAGTTGGATGGCTAGCAAAAATGAAACCTTTCTTCAGTGAACAGTGACTGTAGCTCCAGGCCAGTGTGAGGCAGCCAGCCAGTTTCTGTGTTCTGGGTTTGCCCCTTGAGCCAATCTGCTCCAATTTCCAGAAGTTTATAATATTTTTGTTACTTTTCATACCAATGGTAAGTGCAAAAGCCTCTCTTCATAACTCCATAAGAAACAAGAAAGAATAAACAAATATATTTAGTCATAACCAAGAGCAAATAAAAACCAGTGAGTGTATAATGCCTACTTTTAGAAAGTCTGTGATTCTGTATCTACTAGAGAATATCCAGTGCATCAACTCCCGCTTCTGTGTTTCAGCTCTGCACCAAAGCTGGTGGTTCCTGTGTTACCACCTTGGATGGTTACTACATGGAATCCATCATCTGTGTCATTCTGGGATTTGGCTGGTGGTTCCTACTTGGGCCAAAATTTAAGAAGCTGCAGGATGAAGGACAGTCTTCCTGGAAGTGCAAGAGGACCAATTGATGCAGCTTAAATACTGCACAGACTAGCAAAGTCATTTTAGTTTTATTACAGAGACATATCCCTTAATCAATAAAGAGGAATATAGGTATTTTTAAATGCCACATAATTGAAAAAACTGGGTGGCTGAGACGGTGGTATGTTTGTATGTGATGCCACTTGCCCTCCCAATATGAAAATGTAAGTTCAGAAAGTAATTATTAAAAAATGTCAGTAAGTGCTACATACACATCCCCAAGCTCTAGCTTCAGAGTCATGGGTGCTGGTATAACCGGCATCCGAATTTCCATGTAGTAACTGTGGAAAAGCTAACTGTGACATGTCTGTCTAAGCAGCAGCATTGCCAGCTCAGTTCCAGCTCTTTACTTTCAAACAGAAAGATCTGACATGGGGAGATGACCGGGGAAGGATGTCGGAGGCATTTGGACTTGCAGGTTAATTTTGTTGTACTGCGGC